AAATTTCAAAAAGTGGGGAGAGTCAAAAGTACAAAGAGATGCAGGGGACAGGGAGCCAAGTAGGGAGCAAGGGGTTTTAGGGCAGGGGGGGACTGCTGAGATGACAGGGGCTGGGGTGGGGGGATGCAGACTGCAAACTGGAGGGACTGCACAGACAGGGTGAGTGGCCCCTGCGCCTGTACCGGGGGAGGTTCCCATGTAGGGAATGCAGGAGCAGCAGTGGCCAGCAGCTGCCTGCACTCTTGTAGAGAGGTGAGAGCAGTAGGAGCTCCACCTGGGCACTCAGCAAATGGTTGGCCTGAGAAAAATCCGGGACACGGGAACACTGCCCAGTGAACACTGGGACCCTTGTTCAAAACCAAAACTTTCTTCTCTGGCCATTCTCAGTCTGCCTGCCCCCCACCCCCGTCTCAGTCTGCCCTGGTGGTTTTTATCTGCTATTTAATGTTGTTCCAAGCAAAGAAAAAATTCTGAATTATCAGCATAAATTTTATGCTGTACAATGCTGATTTTAAGCGCAAATATAAGAGCGTTTAGTTCATATGTGGAATCTCCAAAATTACAGTTTGCGTCTCCTACCTCATACATGTGTATTTAACTCATATGCAGAGAGATAAAATGCTAAACAAAACTGAGTCTGAGCCCTCAGCTCCCAGCAGGGAAGGGACCCTGGGTCTCCTCATGCCTCCCTTTCCTTCTGCACCATCACCTCCCGTGGGAGTGGCACGCTGAGGAAAGGACATGAAGGGCTCCATCCGGGAACCAGAATTTAGGAGGGAAAGGGAGCATGGGGACAGCCTGAGGCAGAAAGGCTATGAATTTTTCATATGGGAAGGAGATACACAGACTTAAAAAGCCCAAAGAACCCCAGTATGATAGGAACGGAACGGAACGGAAAGGAAAGGAAAGAAAGGAAGGAAGAAAAAGAAAGAAGGAAGGAAAGAAAGGAAGGAAGGAAAGAAAGAAAGAAAGAAAGAGAAAGAAAAGAGAGAGAGAAAGAAAGAAAGAAAGAAAGAAAGAAAGAAAGAAAGAAAGAAAGAAAGAAAGAAAAAGAAAGAAAGGCATGTCTAGTGAAGCTGCAGATTTGCTGGCAGTAACAGCAGAAGCCAGAGGACTGAGCATGACATCTCAGCCAGCCTGGAATTCTACATGTACCAAATGAAAATTCCAGTCAGGAACAGAGGCAAGGGGTGCGTGGCTGGCTCAGTCAGAGGAGCGTGCCACTCCTGATCTCAGGGTCGTGAGTTCAAGGCCCACGCTGGGCATTGAGACTACTTAAAAAAAAAAAAAACAGAGGCAAAAGAAAGACAATTTCAGAGAAAAATGGAAAGAGTGTCACTAAAATGTCTCCACTAAAGGAAATTCTGAAAGATGCCGTTCATGAAGAAAGAAAATGATCCCAGATTCCAAGAAGCAAGAAGGGGTGAAGTGCACAGAAAGTGGTAAAAACGCAAATAAATCGAATTGGCACTGACTGTAAAGCGAGACTACTGATGTCTTCCAGGGTTAAAGGAGAGGGAAAAGAGCCTGACCGCACCAGACTGACATACCTCCAGGAGACTATCCCGGTCAGGCGCTCCAGGATCCTTGCTTATGTGAGAAGAGGAAATTCTGATGGACTTTCGACGTTAATAATTTCAATATGCATTCCCAAGGTAACGGCTAAAAGAACTGAAATGGAGTTTTAACCTTCAAATTAGTAGAGAGAAAACTAGAGATAGAAATTTCCACTGAAGAAAAGAGCAGAGATCAAAACAAACCGATGGCAGGACAACTAGAAAACTCAGAACGGGAACACACCGAGCAATCTCCAGACTGAACGTGCCAGTGAGAACAAGCCCAGCTGCGGGTCACTCAGAAGAGACTCTTACGCATGAAAAGAAGAATGACGTGTGTATGATATATGCATAGATACGCACAAGAAAACTCGACACAGAAAAAGACGGGGTACTGACATCAGAGCAAACATATGTGAAGCCAAGGCACCAGGGAGCAGGACACACAGAACACCCACCAGCAACCGTGGCACACATGCTCTTCCAAAATACAAACAGACCATCTATAAACACAGCCCGTAAATATTCTCATCACACCGTAAAGAGTTAAAATGTGTAGAGCATGGTCTCTGACCAGTGTACTTACGCTAGAAATTTAAAATAATTTTTAAATAACTAGAAATATTTCACACATTTGGAAATTCAGAAACAGTTCTAAATAACCTGTTGGTAAAGAAAACATGATAATGGAAACTAGAAAATATTTTGAATTGAATTAACAGCAAAATACATATCAAAACTTGCGGAATATGACTAAAGCAATATTTATTTCTTCTATACTAGGTATCTTTTGCAGAATCAAACATTTGAGTCTAGAATCAGTTTATAATTCTCATGTATTATAACATATCCTGAGCATGTATTTCTGTTTCGCTGTATGACACCAATTAGCATTCAGATTGACACACTGAGCATTAAGACCCATCCTCCCCCAATTTACTGGCTGCATCTGCAAAAGCTGGCAAGCCCAGGTTTTCCGCAAGCACCAAAGCACCTGCCATGGTCACGCACATCCTAAGCCCTCCAGAAATGCTAAGATGGAGTGGGAACCCTTGACAAACACCTTAGGGTGTAACAGCAGGAGGCCCAGCACTCCCAGCCGCCAAGTCCGTAGTAATAAAGGCAACGAGGCGTGTGCCAACAGCCCTGGTGAAGGCAGGAGGAGACGCGCCTGGGTGAGGTGACACTTAGGGCCTCACCAGGGCCCCTTGGGAGTCACCAAACACAGCTGTTCAGAGCATATCAGCTATGTTTCCATCTAAGGTGCTTTATCTCAAGCTGCAAGAACTCATCCACATGTCAGAACAGTCAGGATTCCTGCAGTCATCCGGGCATACATAGATCTATTATCACACACAACGTATCCGTTAATATAACATAAGCGTGTGTGCGCACGCGCAAGCCTCCACAGTTATTCTCTTGCTCTCTAAGGGACCTCTGAACCTGGAGGTTGGGAGGTCACACCCCCAGGAAGGGTGATGAAAGCCGTGGTAAGTAACTTTGACTCTTAAAATCAAGCAGGTGAATTCTGCAATAGCAGTTCTCAAACTTGAGCAAGCATCAGAGTCCCCAGGTTCTGACCCAGGAGGTCTGAGGCATGGCTGGGAATCAGCATTTCTAACAAGCTCGCAGGGGATGCCAAGGCCGCTGGTCCCAGCACCACCGTTGAGAATGAGCCTCCAAGTCAGTCATTCACACTCTTGCATGTTCTCCAAACAGCACTTCTGTGTCCAGAAAACATTTCAGAATACGCCTCATAACCCGAAATCCTTTGTAAGGTCTGGAATAGAATATGACCCCTTTTTTCTGAGACATAATTTTGAAGGAAGAAAAGATCTTATATTCCATTCCATGTATATATGGGAAATCGCTCTCATGTCAAGAAAACTCACAGAGCACATGGATCATGAAACATGAATCAGAAGGCCATCATACAGATTTCCAAGGAATTCTCCCTTTTACACAGTAGGGAACTCTTCTCTCAATCATTTGTTTAGAGATTATCAAATAGTCAAAGAGCCAAAGAACAAAGAAAATTAAAATCAAAGCCCTAGGATACACTGTCAGTTGAAGAACCTAAATTAAGCTCCAGCTGCCTGGCAATTACAATTAGGGTCAGCGTGAAATAGAATTTGATTCATAACAGAAGAGCATCTTCCTCCAAGCCTCTAAATGCAAATGTGCCTTGACTTAGGATGGCACTAGGTCCTGATAAACCCATCATAAATCAAAAATATCATTAAGTCAAAGATGCATTTCACACACCTAACCTACCGAACGTCACAGCGTAGCCCAGCCCACTTTAAGTGTGCTCAGAGTACTCACATTAGCCCACAGTTGGGCAAAGTCATGTAACACGAAGCCTGTTTGACAGTAAAGTGTCGAATATCTCCTGGAATACACGGCACGCTGTCCTGAAAGTGACGGACGGGACGGCTGTGTGGGTGCAGATGGCTGTCGGTGTATCGGCCGTGGCCCCTCGTGATCGCGTGGCAGCTGGGAGCTGCGGCCCCCGCCCGGCATCACAGGGGGAGGATCGGACCGCGTATCGCTGGCCCGGAAAGAGATCCACATTCAGAACTCGGAGCATGGTTTCTGATGAGTGTGGATCGCTTTTGCCCCATCTTGAGGTCGAAAAATCCTGAGTCAAACTACTGTAAGTTGGGGGGCATTTGTATGGCTAAAACACAATTGCAAACAAACCCCCAAAACACAGGTGCCTGGAAGATTCCCACACACACCATTAAAACCCCAACCACCAGCCGCGTGGGCACCTGTCATGTCCCAGCATCGCCTTTCCCTGAAACCCAGCAGTCTCCTGTACCAGCCGGGGACAAAGGCCAGCAAGGGCGCACTCACCACAGCTGCCCTCCCTTCCTGTGTGTGTCCACGTCTTCTTAGGGGAGTAAGAAGCGGAAGGGTACACTTCATCCCTGAAGGCACCTTCTGGGGTCTGGCCTTGGAGCAGGAGCTCTGGAGGGGACTTACATACTCTGTTCTGCCAGCTGGGTCCACATAAAAACAAACAAACAAAAGACACACATGAGAGCTGGCCAGCAGACTAGAATACTTGAGAGCTGTAAAGTCCTACATCATCATCACTCATCTAATTGTCTCTGAGTTCTGATAGGTTTCGTTCACATCACCAAGCCCAACAACATGAGACAGGTGTGATCACTCAATCAGGACACTTCTAACTGCTGGAGCAAACGACCTCCAAATTCCAATGACTCAAAGTAGGAGCTTTGGTCCCACCCACGAGGGCAGCATGCCACCCTGTAGGATGCAGGCACTGTCCCCTGCAGCCTTTCTCTGTGCCGTCCCTGGGGGCGGGGGGTAGAGACCTGTGTGCCCAGGCCGGAGACCCCACTTCCATTTGGAACAGCTATGTCACGTGGCCCCACCTAGCATGGGAGGAGTGGGACTGTGGTGTTTCTGGACGCGATGCCAACTTCTATAGAGAGCTCTGTGCTGGGGAAGGACCAGCAAGAGAGTAAGAAGGTGACAGCCACCACAGCCCTTGGAACAGATGATTCCGTAGCTATTTACATCAGTCTTCAGATGTTCAACAAAGGAGCCCCTGGTGCGACCCTGGCTGAGTGGCATCTCCGTGCCTCAGGTGCCGTGGTCGCTCTCCGATGATCAGATCTGTGCAGTAATGTCTGCGTGAGCCACCAGCCACAAGCTGCAGGTGCCTGTCGAGTCCTTGAAGCGAGGCCAGTCCAAATCGAAACAGGCTAGAGACACACAGGATCTCAAAGACTTGACAGGAAAGAAAGAATAAAATATCTCATTTATAGTTTATTCAGTTGACATATTTTGAAATGATAATATTTTGGATATGTTGGGTTAAGTAAAATATTAAAATTAATTTCACCTTTAAAAAAATTTTTTTAAATGTGCCTTCTACAAGTTTTAGGATTACAGATGTGGCTCATATTACATTTCTTTTGGACAGGGATGATCTAGAGTAACTAGCTCTTACATTTAGAAAGTTCTAAAAACAATGATACTTAAAGGAGTTTTTCTAAGTGTATCACATTATTTTGAGAAGATAAATAATACAGTCCATCCCCAAAACTTTTTTTTAATTTGAATATAGTTGACACACAATGTTACATTAGTTTCAGGTGTGCAACCGAGTGACTCACAGGTCTATGCAGCACGCTGTGCTCACCACAAGCGCGTTCCCATCCGTCACCACACGACACTGTTACCCCACCAGTGACCAGATTCCCTCTGCTGTGCCTTTCGCCCCCGGGACTCGTTCGTCCGTAACTGGAAGCCTGTCTCTCCCACAGCCCTTCACCCACTTTGCCCATCTCCCCACCCTCCTTCCCTTGGGCAGCCATCTGTTCTCTGTATTTATGGGTCTGTTTCTGCTTTTCGTTTATTAATTTTTTTAGATTACAGACATAAATAAAATCATATGGTAACTGTCTTTCTCAGTCTGACTTATCTCACTTAGCATAATAGCCTCTAGGTCCATCCATGTTGTCTCAAATGGCACAATCTCATCCTTGTTATGGCTGTGTAATATTCCTCTGTGTGTGTGTGTGTGTGTGTGTGTGTGTGTGTGTGTACCACATCTTCTTTATCCATTTATCTATGGATGGACACTTGAGCTGCTTCCATATCTTGGCTATTATAAACAATGCTGTAATAAACATAAACAATGCATGTATCTTTTCAAATTAGTGTTTTCTGGGCAAATGCCCAGTACTCAAACTATTAGATCATATGGTAGTTCCAATTTTTTGAGAAATCTCTATACTGTTTTCCACAACGGCTGTCCCAATCTACATTCCCACCAACAGTGCTGAGGGTTCTTGCCAAAAACTCTTTAATAAAAACCATTCACTCTGCCCCCACCCAATGCCCTAGCTGTTTCCAGTCTTTTCTCAAAAGAATTCCTCAACTATGATTGCCTTTTCTCTGATAATCCAGATCTTTACAACCTAACTGAAAACCATGAAACTATTCTTCCTTCCAAGCCCATCTAAGGAGATTGACTTCTGGACTCTTGAAGCCCTTTGTAATCACAAAATCACTTTTCTATCTAGGCATTGCTCCTAACGTGTTTGTTCCTGTTCATGCAGGACTTATGGCAAGACGGGCAAACCATCTAAAACCTGTAGAACTGTAACCAAGACACTAACAAAACAATAACTGTCTTAATAAAACCCCTACTAAAGATTTAGATGTGTTAAATTTCTAATAAACCAATAATTGTAGGCCTTTTTCCTTTTTGAAAAGAAGCAATAGCATCTTTGAAGAAACCAGGGAGAATCACACAGTAAATATTTCCAAATCAGAGCACAGACCAAACAGAGTCTGGGGGACGAAAAGAGAGTGAAGGATACCATATTAAGCCACTTTGCAGTTAGCAACTGTGACTTCTACATGATGTAGGCATGTTCCATTTTGCTAATCAGATATGAGCGAATTCTCACTGTGAATCCCTGCGCTGTAGCCGAGAGTCTGCAGTAACTCTGCCTCACCCTGGCAGTTCCAGCTTGTGTCATCAGGACGGAAAGCACACCATCCCACAACCAGCTAAATCATTTGCCTAAGATCACTGTGTTTCTCTAAATCCTTTTATATAAAAAAAAGTAGTACTTTATTTAAAAAAGTAGTACTCTATAAAAAGAACTGGGGGGGCATTAGAGAACTCTATTTAAGGACAGTACTTTGGAGCAAACTTTTTAAAAGTTTGAGGTAAAATGTAATATGCTGCCTTCATTATGGTGGACTAGCAAGGGAAACAATTTTAAAATAAGTCCTAAAGATCTGTTCTGTAGCAAGGGGCCATACAAGTGTCCATAAATTGATTACCTCCCATAAAGGGATTTTTAAGGTCCTTAGGCAATGGGAGTTTTCAAGTTACGATTTTAGGGCTTGCTGAGAAAAGCAGAATGAATAACTAGTTTAAAAGATGGGGATAATCTTAGATTTCCTTTTTTGTTTGTTTATGGTCACGCTAAGATGATCGTTCATAATCTGCAACCACACTGGGAAGCCAGCTGGCAAGCAAGGGGATGGGAAGAGTGCTGGTTCCCTGGCTGGGCAAGAGCTCGGGGCACTGTGGCTGCACGCAATGAGCACCCTGCTTACAGATCAGAATCCACGCTGCCACAGCAGGGTGATCATCCCTTTCTCCTCTCCACTTCCCTTTCCCTTTTATTAGCTCTCAACTCTTAATTACAATGTATTTCTTGTTAACCACCAAGACTTAAACCAGGTGGACCTTTTGAATCTCTTTGCATCAACTATCTGGACATGGCTCTATTAGGTAAATATGCATATGTCTGTTTCCCCAAAAAGTCTTCTTCAAAGGTAGAGACCTGAGGAAAGTTAGTAAAAAAGGTGATGAGGACCCACGAAGGCACTTCCCTTGCACCTACAGGTAGAATCCGCCCCCCACCGGGGCATGTTAATGCACTGCCTCCCATGTCCTTTCCAGTTCACAGAGATCAATCGCCGCATACTGTGCTCCTTCAGCACAGACATAGAGGACCTCTTCTGGGAAATCGACCACTGCCTGGCCATAAACCGAAGTGTTCTTCAGCAGCTGGAGGACAGGTGTGGCCATGAGCTCACAGAAGAAGACTGGGAGAAGATCCAGATCCAGGTAGGCGTGGGTCACTCACTGGAAGCAGCAGCCCCCAGGCGTCTGGGAGACATTAGAGGGGAGACTTGGGGACCCTGTGGTGAGGAGCTTTCGGCCCTGGCTGTTCTTGTACCCTGAACCTTTGCCATCCAGGCTGGGGTGAGGTCAAGGCCCTTCCATGGGACACTGCTTTGAGGACGCCTTCCTGTGAATAATGAAAACACCAAAGGGAAAAGACACCCCACGTGCTAGCTTCCCGGTTTTCCTTCAAGCCCTAGCCTGCCCTCCTCTGGCATCTGTAGCACCTCAGGAAAAGGGGAGCCTCAGAATTCAACAGAGGAAAAACTTACTTAAAAAATCATTAAAATACGAAAATTTATAAAGAAGTTTAGCAGCAATATAAGGCCAAGATTTTGAAAAAGACCACTCTCTATTGCTCAACTAAAAGGAAATCTATACCATTAATGTTCAGCATTTTATAAAGTATTTTTGTTTGTTTTAAAACTGCTTGTCACAAGCAGGCTACTCTTCCTTTCCATTTTCCACAGGACTAACAGTATATGTATAATTAGTGTCATTGTAACACAGGATGAAACTTCATCTCTAGAAGGGCCATGTCTCTTGGTATATACAGTTCTCACTTAAATTTAGGAAGCTTTCCATCATGACAGAGCTACTACCTGCACGACAGCTCACGTCCTCTCCTGTGCCGCAGGCTCTGCACCGGGAGACCTCTGAGTGCCCCATCTGCCTCGCCCCACTCCCAGCCAGCAGTGGCGGTCACCAGGACCCATCGGAGACGCGCTGCGGCCAGGCTTCCCGAGAGATAGTCCTCCTGTCCTGCTCACACGTGTTCCACCACACGTGTCTCCTTGCTCTGGAGGAGTTCTCACTGGGGGACAGTTCTCCTTTCCATGCTTGTCCCCTCTGCCGCTCTGGCTATCAAAAGAAAATTCTTGAATGTTGAATTCACAGTCAGGAAAAATTCTATCACTCCCGGGTGGTGGTGGGGGCGGGGGGTGGATTTACCTCAATTTTGTACAAATTGTATGAGTTTGGGGTTAAGTGCTACAGTGTAATCTACTCTCCAATGAAATACACTCTTAGTAGTTGTACATAGGAACCCTAAATATATTTTAAAAGCTGACAACCTACCCAGTTTTAGTCTTTAGTTTATAAAAATTTCAAATTGATGAGTTTAATCAGTTGAAATAAGTGAGTAATGGATAAAAATTTGAGTCTCAGAGGTTCTGTAATTTAGTGACTTGCTATGCTTCTAGTTGATCAGTTGGGATTGCTCCGAACAGCAGAATCGCTCCCTTTCTTTCACGGTCGTCTGATCAACTGGCCTATTTCCACGCGGTTCTGACTGGCAGCTGGGGGACCTGCCAGGACGGTCGTGGCACACTGTTCCCGTGCTCCCCTGTGCACACACCTACCTAGATACAGCTGGTATCTGACCAACAAGCTGGTCACCTAAAAACAGTCTTCAAATTGTCTTGGGCCCTCTGCCATTCCTAATATTTGTTTTGCAGTAATTGCTTTATTTCTATGGGATAAATTACTATTATACTTCAGCACTTCAAATATGTAAACCCAAAGTATAAAAATAAAATATTCAGTGGTATTCAACATCAGAAGATGGCAAATCACATTTTAATGACTTAGAGCCATACTATTTTAGCTTGTACGTGAAGAAGAAATGCATGAAACCGCTTTGATAGGAAGCATCTGACTCTGGTTTACTCTCCCCGGAAGCTTGGTTGTTTACAGTAACAAAGGACAGTTGTGTAGGTCAGGTGCCTGGCTGCTGGTAAGGCCCCACATGTCAGTGGCTCATGGGGAAGCCTGTCATTTCTGAGCCCCACAGCCCATGGGCAATGGGCTGAGGGCTGGGGGCTGAGGGGCTGCTCTAATTGGCTCCTCTGCCCTGAGTCTGGGGGGGGTTCTCATTGCTGGGGAAGAGCAGAGATGTTTTAAGGCCCATGCTTGGGCAAACGGGCGCACATCCCTGCAGTCACAGCTAACGACAGGGCAGAGCCAGTGAGTGAGAACCCGGGAGGAAAAAGATGCAGGTCACCAAGCCCAGGTACATGCATGTCAAGGGTGTAGGGCAATCCTGATATCTTATGGAGAGAAGTAAAATATGTGTTCCTATTTTTTTTAATCTCATCCTTTTCAAATGCTGATCTAGTATGTTTTATTTAAAAATAGCTGTATACACACATATCACTTATGAATACATACACATATACTGGGCTGTGCTCATTTTTTAAATGATGGAATATCCCATTGCAAAATTTGGACAAGATAAAATTTGTTTGCCCAAAATTTGTCACAATCGTCCCCCCTCATCCATAGGAGATGTGTTCCAAGACCCCCAGTGGATGCAGGAAACTGCAAATGGGGACCAAACCCTATTTTTCTACTACATTTTCTCCTATACATACATACCCATGATAAAGATTAATTTATAAATTAGGCTGCAGTAAGGAATTAACAATAATAATAAATAGAACATACTCTAATAAAAGTCATGTGAACATGGTCTCTCTCTCAAAATATCTTATTGTGCTGTACTCACCTTCTGGTAATGATGAAGTTATAAGATAAAATGCCTACATGACAAAGTGAAAGGAGGTGAATGATGTCGGCCCTGTGATGCATCAAGTCATACTACTGGTCTTCTGATGACCTGTCAGGAGGATCATCTGCTCAGGACTATGGATGGCGGG